GGGGAGCTACTTCAGTATTTTACGTGAGGAAGTGATCTGAACTGACACACAGTTTAACAGGTTCACTCTGACCGCTGTGTTGAGAGAAGGCTGTATATAGGGATATAGGTAAAAGGACAGAGATAAGTCACAAGGCTATTGCCATAATCCAGATAAAAGATAAAGGTCACCTGAACCAGGGTGGTATTTTGGGTATATTTTCAAGGTAGGATTCACTGATATAATGTGGGATATAAGAAGTCACAGATGATTCCAAGATTTCTTTCTTTGAGATTTCTTTCTTGCTTTATCTGTTTACTTATGGCTGTGCTGAGTTTCACACGCAGCAAGAGCAGGGGCGACTCTCCCTGCAACACTCCAGCTTCTCATCGTGGGGGCTTCTCTCGTGTGGAGCACAGGCTCTACGTGCACAGACTCAGCAGTTGCTGGCACACAGGCTTGGTTGCTCAATGGCGTGTGGGATCTTCCCGGACCAGGGATTGAACCCATGTCCCTGCATTAGCTGGCAGATGCTTGACCATTAGCTCACCAGGGAAGCCCATTCCAAAATTTTTTTATCGGAGCAACTGGACGGATGGCATTGCAATTTAAGGAGATGGGAAGACTATGAGAGGGTGAGGTGAGTTAGGAATTTAGTTTTGAACTTAGGTTTGACATGCCTACGGTCACGTCCAACTGGAGGTAAGCAGTAGCTGAATAGATATGTGTCTAGAAAGGAGAAACCTGGGGCAGAGATACAAATTTGGGAGTTGTCAGCATAAAGATGGTATTTAAAACCATAGGATTAGATTAGATCACCCAAGGCAATAAGTGAATTTATTGAAAAGAAGTCCAAGGACAAACTCAGGGGTACTCCTCCAGAATGCAGAATTGAGGAAGGTAAGTGAGAACCAGAAAAAAGTCAACCCCTTCTGAGTTGCCAGGGAGACAGGAGGAGAATCAAGATAAGAGTGTTGCAGGAAGTCAAGGGAACATAACATTCAAGGAGAGAAAGATCAGTTATGCCAAACTCCATAGTCCAGTTGAGCAATATTAAGACTGAGAATTGACCAAAGGATTTACCACGTGAAGGTCATTCCTTATCTTGTCCTCAGTGTTTGCTCAATGAATGAGTGAGTGAGTGAATGTTAATATCTCCTCCACCTATATTTGACCAGGACCCAACAGTAGAGGGACCAAGTCTTTTTTTCTCCAGAAAGAGTTTGATCAGCTTCATAAATGACTGTAGAGATGATGGAATGAAATAGCTTTTCCCTCGGTGTCTGGCCTACCCCAATTCCCACTTTATTTCCTTAGAACTGTAGGAGGTGGGAAACTGCATGGCGTTCCCAGCCCTGAAAGCCAGACTGCTTGGAATTGCCTGTGGTTATTTCTCTGTACTGTTCCACACAGCCAAGTCATTCAGGGCAAAAGAGTCAACAAAAGTCAGAAGACAAACACTCTAGTCTCTAAGTCAACCGGGAAACATCTGCAAACTGAGTTGAATACATGTAGTCAGGCCTCTGGGAGAAACCACATTCTTGAGATCCTTAACCTGTGGCACTGTTCAGTAAAAATATTTTCTTGGAAATTTTGACAATTCAAGGCATAGTTCCATAAAATACTAATGAAAATTTAAGTTGAAGACAGCTGGCCTTTGATGCATGGTTCTCTGGAAAAAGGAAGATTTCCCCCCTAGGGCAGTCATTCTACAGTGAGATTCTACATTCTAGATTTCATGAGAATTTACTGTGTACCAGGAACTGTGCTAACTGGGCATAGAGCAAACCTGAATCTTCACGACCAGCCTGTAAGAATGGTCCTGTTATCACTTTCAGATTATAGACATCATAGTTATATATCACAGATGATTCAATGGAGGCTTGGAAGGATTGAGGGGGTCTCATGGGACTGAGTATCTTCCCCAGTGAAGGACCCTCGTGAGTGACCTGTTCGCCATCAAGAGATCTTACTCCTGGACAGATGAAGAAGGCCCTGGGGCTGCTTCTAGTAGTCAGCTTTTCCCGGGAAGGAAAGAGGGCACAGTAGTGTGGCCCTGGGAAGCAGCATCCTGAGAGCTGGGGTGCAGGTGGGGGTATAAAGAAGACTCCTGAAAGAAAGGGAGGAAACAAAACACAGTCACAATTTATTTTACCCTCAGGTACTTCTCAACTAAAAAGAAATTGACTCCATCATTTTTTCTTTCTTTCCCCAACAACATATGGTTTGTGGGTTCTTAGTTCTGTGACCAGGGATTGAACTGGGACCATCGGCAGTGAGAGCACAGAGTCTTAACCACTGGACCACCAGAATATTCCCTTGATTCCACTTTACAGGTAAGTGGAATTCCCTCTCCACTTAGAGAGGGTAAGTAGCAAAGTTTATCCCAAGTCACAAATACCTGGAAGGTGAAAGACCAAATTTTGCCTGCAGGGTTATACGGTTTCAGAGGCCGAGCTCTTTCTACATTCCCAAAGGAACTCCAGACAATAACAATGAAAGGTTCCTAAGACGTGGGGCCACTGAAAGGCGCCCATTAAAAAGAACTGTGTCATTCACTGGACAGCCTCCCCTAGCCCCTCTTGTCTGTGTGTGTGTTGGGAAGCAGTCCATTCCTATTATTCAGAGAGCAATTATTCCATTCTTGTGGTCCATTCAGGGCCATTTGCTTCTCTGCCTTTTCAACCATTTATTTTCCTGCTCCTGTGAGCTCTGTCAGGGCAGAGGGCAGAGGGCAGAGGCAGAATGCTAACCCTTTACTTACGTAAATGTGGGGAAATGTCTTATTGGCCATGTGGTTGAAACAACTGGCTAACATGATATTTTAAAAAATAATTTTGTTTATGAATTTGTGGTTGTCCTGGGTCTTCGTTGCCGTCTGGGCTTTGGGGGCTGTTCTTTGCTGCAGTGTGCAGGCTTCTCATTGCGGCGGCTCCTCGTCACAGAGCACAGGCTCCAGGGCGCACGGGTTTCAGTAGTTACGGCTCGTGGACTCAGTAGTTTTGGCTCCTGGGCTTGAGAGCACAGGCTCAATAGCTGTGGTGCACAGGCTTAGCTGCTCCAAGGCATGTGGGATCTTCCCGGGTTGGGGATTGAACCCGTGTTGTCTGCACTGGCAGGCGGCTTCCTTACCCCTGAGCCACCAGAGAAGCCCCTAACACGACATTTTATAAAATTTTGCCTGCCTGAATTATCTGGAACCCCCATTAGTTCTATTAATTGGTCCCATGGGAGGTTCAGCAAGAGCTCCTACTCAGAACACAGGGCCTTTATTAGATGTAAGCTCCATTCTAGAAACTCACAGGCCCGAGATGGAGTATGTTCAGTTACTGATAACATCACTGACACCTGACTCACCAAACTGGTCTTCTAGAAAGAATCATGGACTCCCAGGGCTCAAGACGCTCAAGAGGTGACCTGGACTCATCAGCCTGACCCCTGATCCTGGTAGGGAACTGCTTCTCCAACCTGCAGGACACATGCCCTGGTCCTTTGCTTCACGTCCGACGGTGACGTGGCCTTAACCTCACCAGGCAGCCCTCAGGACTGGGACTGTTTTTGTTTGTTTTGATTTTGGCCTCACCTGACAGCTGGTGGGGATCTTAGCTCCCCAACCAGAGATGGAACCCTGGCCATGGCAGTGAAAGACACGAGTCTAACCAATGGACTGCCAGAGAATCTGACCTGTTAAAAACCTTTCTACCTTGAGCTGAAAGCATGCACACAACAGTTCTGCACACAAACTTAAAAATATGTGCTAAGTCGCTTCAGTCGTGCCTGCCTCTATGTGACCTCATGGACCGTAGCCTGTCAGGCTCCTCTGTCCATGAGATTCTCCAGGTAAGAATACTGGAATGGGTTACCACGCCCTCCTCCAGGGGATCTTCCCAACCCAAGGATCGAATCCGCGTCTCTTAAATCTCCAGCATTGGTAGGCAGATTCTTTACCACCAGCGCCACTGGGAAGCCCTACTTGTAAATATGAATGCTTATATAATTCTTTGGACTGTGGGCTCTCAATACAGAAGAGACACTGGTGGGAGCAGTGATTAATAGAAGAAAGCAGAAGTCACAGACTCAAGTTTACATATGATGGACATTTACAATCTGTGACTACCACTGCGTGACTGTGGGCAGTTTGTTCAACCTTAATTCAGTTTCCTCGTCTGCAAAATGGGAATAATAGCTATTGCATGTTTTTTATGTTCGGGGGATTAATCTAGACTGGGCTCCTGAATCATTTACACGTGGTTCTTTAAGTAGCTGTTAGAGCTGTTTTCTCCCTCCCACTTCACAGACGGGGAAGGGCGCCTAGAAGGGGTGAGGGGTCGCAGCTAGTTAACAGCCGAGCGGAAACTTAAACACAGATCCTGATGACTCCGGCAGGCCCGGACCCCTGCCTGCTCCCCATCGTGTTGGCGGGGGCCCGCAGACGTCCATCCTGCCAATGCAGACTAGAAAGTCACGCCTCATCCCACAGCGCGGACGACACTGGGAGGCCTCTACGAAGTGACCAAGATAACTGCAGCGAGCTCGGGCCTTGGCTGTTTGCCCTTTAGGAAGGGCGGGGATGGGGGTGGATAACGCTGGTTCCGCAGGAGTAATTCAAGGTTAAAGGCGGTTTTCGGCCTTGCGCAGGCCGCGGAGATCCCACGAGTGTGTTCCCACCTTTCGAAGATTACAGCACAGTTTCTCCGCGGCGGGCGCACCTCGGGCGGCGGGCCGGGGCGGGGCCCCCAGCGCAAGGCCTGGGGGGCCTGGGGGCCGGGCCGGGACTCCAGGTCTCGGAACCGCGGGGCGGAGCAGTGTGTTCCGGCCCCGGGGCGTGGCCCGCGCAGGTGCGGCGAGAGGCTGGAGTTTCACTGAAACTTATCCGGTTCTCGGGAGGCGTGCGCGCAGGCTCCAATCAGGGGCCCGCGGGAGGGTGGCTTCCTACCCGAGCCGACCGGCGAGGGGGTCTCTGAGTTTCGGGGCTGTGGCGGCGGGCTCCCCGTCCGCCCGGCGTCGGCGCTGCTGGAAGGATGCGAAGCCGGAGCGCGGCGTGGCTGCTCGGGGGTGTCCTCCTGCTGGCGGCCTCTGCCTCCTGCAACCAAACCGTCCCAGGTGAGAGGCTCGGCGGGGAGGGGTCGTGCTGCTCGGGAGCGGGGGTCGCGGGCGCCTTGGGTGGGAGGCGGACGCCGGGTGGATGCGCGAAGGGTGCAGAGCGGCCACCGCCGCCGCCGCCTCCCGGCTCCCGGCGGCTCCGCTTCTGGCTTCAGAGCGGGGGCCTCCGGGGCCCCAGCTGGGACCACCGGCAGGGGCTGACGCCTGCGGAGGCCAGCGGAAGAGAGCGGGGTGCTCGCGCCTACGGAGGACCCAGGGGGTTGAGTCCCTCGGGCCCCCCAGGTCTCTTGGCAAACACTAGTCATTGAGGAGCTTTCCACACTTTCACACTCTCCTGCCTAGTCCTGCAGGACCCGCGGCGTTGGAGAGTTGATGGCCTCTTAGAGCGGCCTGGGAACCTTCTGCGTCGCTTTCTGAGCCTCCTGCAACTTCTGGAGGCCCCTCTTTGGGGTCGGCCCTCGGCATTCAACCTGCCTCCCCGCCCCGCCCCGGGGCCGGCAGCTCCTCTGGGACGGCTCGTGGCCGGAGTGGGGAAGCCAGGGCCGGGCCCCGTTGGGTTCTTCGGGTGCCAGGCGCTCCCTCCGGGTTGTAGGCCAGTCGAACAGGTGAACGAACGGAACTTCTTGAACCCTGCTTTACATTCGACCAGGTGACTTCTGGGCCCCGGGTTTCCCGGCCCTTCGGTGCCACACTGGCCGCCACCAGGCCCGTAGGCCCGAGGCTGCCCGCGCCGGGCACGGAAGGACCCGGGAGCCTCCCTGGGGCCGCGCAGGTACCAGCTTGGGCGCCGCAGCCGGTGCCCGGGTGAGTTCGGACTTGCCAGGCGGGAGGGGCCGTCTCCCGGGCTGAGCTGCTCTCCCGGGGCGTGGGCGCTCTCAGGCCGCGTGTCGCCTAAGTTCAGTCCAGTCGCTCAGTCGTGTCCGACTCGGCGACCCCGTGGACTGCCGCACGCCAGGCTTGCCTGTCCGCCAAGCCCCGGAGCCTACTCAAACTCATACTGTGATGCTAACGGATGGGGAGCCTTAAAAGGGAAGCTTTTGTTTCCCTGCGAAATCTGTAGACCTGTTGTTAAGGCAGCTTCTCACTTTTATCCTCTTCGTGAAGACACTGTGAAAGAGCAAGTCACTGTGAGTGTGAATCAGAAGAATGTGGTTCTTTTCCTTCTGCAGCTACAGAAAAGGGTATTATTATGGTGGATACTTGAAAAACCACACCCCTGGTACGCATTTTATTGTCAGCATTAGAATAAAGATATTTATTTCATGTAAGTACTGAAACTGTGATGACTGCATGTCCCTTTACCGTTCTGTTTTAAACTTACAAACCTAAAATTTAGGAGAAAGGCTTAGTATGTGCAGACATCTATAAAATGTGAGGATGTGGATTCCTCTATTTTATGATTCAGAGGGTTCCTATAGGGAGCTTGCCTGAGTGTTTGGCTTGTTCTTGTTTACAAAGTGAGGGGCAGGAGCTGGGGGGATTTCTGAACTATAAGGTGGACTTCATTGAACAACAACGACAAAGATCAAGTTACCTGTTAAACAGGACTATTCAATATTGCACTTTTTTCCCCTTCCACATACTCTTACTCCTTTGCAGGGTAACTTTGCTAAAGGGTCAGTTCAGTAACAGTGAGACTTCGGGTAGATGGAGCTTCCCCCACAACTTGAAACTAAGTTGGTTTTGGTAAGAAACGTGGCATCACCAGTGTTTCTGACCCTCAGCACCTGTCTTTGCTCACCCCCCTCAGTCTGGCCCCCAGATATCCCGTTCAGTTTGCAGCAGGACACGCATCCTAGACTTTTCTTCCCAAGGTTTTCCCCCAGAAGACTGCCATATGGAAGGGAACTCAGCCTAGAGAGTAACCTTATCATTTCACAGATGGGGGCCACAGAATTGAGGGGGACAGGCAAGGAGAACTCTCCGTCATACCCCTGCCTTCTTTCCTATCACGAGATAGTGACGTGTGTTAGTGGCTCGACCCCAGGCACTGTAGCCCGCCAGGCTACAGAGGGACAGAATCCCTCTGTCCACGGGATTCTCCATGCAAGAATACTGGAGAGGGTAGCTGTTCCCTTTTCCAGAGGATCTCTCAGACCCAGGGATAGAACCCGGGTCTGCTGCATTGCAGGTAGATTCTTTACCCTCTGAGTGATGGATGGTTATTTCTGTAAATAGTTTTATCTCTCCCCCAACTGGATCACATACTCCAGGAGGCCAGGGACCCCTAATGGCCCCTCCATCACCACGGCCCAACACATCGCTTTCCCTAAAGGACACTATTATTCAGTAAATAGTGAATGAAAAATGAAGAAAAGGGGCTGCCCCAGAGTTACCTGGCAGTTGATGGCAGTTTGGCATTTAAGTTGGCTTTTTTCAGGTACTTAACTTTCTACTGTGTCACAAGCCTGAGAAGTCCCCTGTAATGCAGTCATTCCATTTTTCTTTTGGACATGGAAACTTGTGTTCTCTTTGTAACTGAACATTAGTGATAGAAGCCGTATGTGATTACTGTAAAGGAAAAATAAGTCCAAAAAGGAGGTGGCATTAATTAAATCACCCTCATTACCCAAAGCATTGCTAACATTTTGGTTTCTAGCCTTTCTCATGCTTTCATACATCCACACACAAAATAGGTATTCATAAATAGAGAAATAATTTTTGTACAACTATGTGTTTATGTAAACATCAGTCAGTTGTCATTGCTCAGTCGCTAGGCTAGGCCTGACTCTTTGCGACCCCATGGACTGCAGCATGCCAGGCTCCTCTGTCCTCCAATATTTCTTGGGGTTTGCCCAACTCATGTCCATTGAGTTGGTGATGCTTCTAACCGTCTCATCCTCTGCTGCCCCCTTCTCCTTTTGCCTTCAGTCTTTCCCAGCATCAGGGTCTTTTCCAATGAGTAAAAGTAAACATCAGTAGTGAGTACACAAACATCAGTAGCAGCATGTTAGTAAATATAAAATGTTTTTAATGAGTCTAAAATGTTACCAGTGGATGTATAATAATTTTTAACTGGTCCTCTGTTGATAGACCCATGGGCTACTTTCCATGTTCGTACTGAAACGAACATGAAGATGGGACCTTAAATTTGTGTTTGGTCACCTGCCTGACCTTGTAGTTACTAATTAATTTTGATAGGTGATGTTTTAGTGAAGTGTGTGTTTGACTTTCTTATGATTTTGTTAGCTGGGCAAATGTTGAGAGGAAAACAGTTCATCCTGAAAGAACACAAGAAATTTGACTACAAAGTGTCCCTAGAGAGGGTACCAAGAAATGGAAGCTTTTCTTTTTTGATCTGTGCTCCCAAAGTTCAGAGCAAAAGAATATTTGGGGGTGAGGAGGATAATAGGGGAAAGAACACAAGAGGAGAGTTTAAACAAATAAAGTAGCTGCTCTATACTTGCTCATGTTGGGAGGGTGGGCCACGGGAGGAAGCTTAATATAACAAAGAACAGGTAATGTTTTTAAAGTTAAAAGTGCAAATCAAAAAGGTTAAAAGTGAAACATCCCCGTTCTCTTCCTTCTTCACTCACAACAGACTTCTTTATGCAGAAATACATGTATTGTGTAACAGTAGAAGAATCATACTGTACATGCTATCCTACAGTTTTTTTTAATCTATGCAATCTAGTCATGGTCAATATAGGAAAATCTGTCCATACTTTTGTAGGGGGAACATTATTCATTGTATAAATGCCATAAATTATTGAACTCGCCTTTTTTGTTTTTTGATGGACATTGAAACTATCGTTTTTGTTTTACCATAGTGAATAATATTCTAGTAAATATTCTTTTTTTGTTGTTTATTTATTTTTTTTCCATTTATTTTTATTAGTTGGAGGCTAATTACTTTACAACATTGCAGTGGTTTTTGTCATACATTGAAATGAATTAGCCATGGATTTACATGTATTCCCCGTCCCGGTCCCCCCTCCCACCTCCCTCTCCACCCAGTCCCTCTGGGTCTTCCCAGTGCGCCAGGCCCGAGCACTTGTCTCATGTATCCAACCTGGGCTGGTGATCTGTTTCACCCTAGATAATATACATGTTTCGATGCTGTTCTCCTGAAACATCCCACCCTCGCCTTCTCCCACAGAGTCCACAAGTCTGTTCTATACATCTGAGTCTCTTTCTCTGTTTTGCATATAGGGTTATCGTTACCATCTTTCTAAATTGTGTTTAGTATACAGTGTTAGTATACTGTAATGGTCTTTATCTTTCTGGCTTACTTCACTCTGTATAATGGGCTCCAGTTTCATCCATCTCATTAGAACTGATTCAAATGAATTCTTTTTAATGGCTGAGTAATATTCCATGGTGTATATGTACCACAGCTTCCTCATCCATTCGTCTGCTGATGGGCATCTAGGTTGCTTCCATGTCCTGGCTATTATAAACAGTGCTGCGATGAACATTGGGGTGCACGTGTCTCTTTCAGATCTGGTTTCCTCGGTGTGTATGCCCAGAAGTGGGATTGCTGGGTCATATGGCAGTTCTATTTCCAGCTTTTTAAGAAATCTCCACACTGTTTTCCATAGTGGCTGTACTAGATTGCATTCCCACCAACAGTGTAAGAGGGTTCCCTTTTCTCCACACCCTCTCCAGCATTTATTGCTTGTAGACTTTTGGATAGCAGCCATCCTGACTGGCGTGTAATGGTACCTCACTGTGGTTTTGATTTGCATTTCTCTGATAATGAGTGATGTTGAGCATCTTTTCATGTGTTTTTGTGCCATCTGTATGTCTTCCTTGGAGAAATGTCTGTTTAGTTTTTTGGCCCATTTTTTGATTGGGTCATTTATTTTTCTGGAGTTGAGCTAGAGGAGTTGCTTGTATATTTTTGAGATTAATCCTTTGTCTGTTGCTTCATTTGCTATTATTTTCTCCCCATCTGAGGGCTGTCTTTTCACCTTGCTTATAGTTTTCTTTGTTGTGCAAAAGCTTTTAAGTTTCATTAGGTCCCATTTGTTTATTTTTGCTTTTGTTTCTAAAATTCTGGGATGTGGGTCATAGAGGATCCTGCTGTGATTTATGTCGGAGAGTGTTTTGCCTATGTTCTCCTCTAGGAGTTTTATTGTTTCTGGTCTTACATTTAGATCTTTAATCCATTAAGCCCAGAGATAAATCCACGAACCTATGGTCACCTTATCTTCGACAAAGGAGGCAAGGATGTACAATGGAAAAAAGACAACCTCTTTAACAAGTGGTGCTGGGAAAACTGGTCAACCACCTGTAAAAGAATGAAACTAGAACACTTTCTAACACCATACACAAAAATAAACTCAAAATGGATTTTTTTGTTTATTTTTATTAGTTGGAGGCTAATTACTTTACAATATTGTAGTGGTTTTTGCCAGACATTGACATGAATCAGCCATGGATTTACATGTGTTTCCCATCCCGATCCCCCCTCCCGATCCCCCCTCCCACCTCCCTCCCCGTCCCATCCCTCTGGGCCTTCCCAGTGCACCAGCCCTGAGCACTTGTCTCATGCATCCAGCCTGGGCTGGTGATCTGTTTCACCCTTGATAGTATACTTGTTTCAATGCTATTCTCTCGGAACATCCCACCCTCACCATCTCCCACTGAGTCCCAAAGTCTGTTCGGTACATCTGTGTCTCTTTTTCTGTTTTGCATATAGGGTTATCATTACCATCTTTTTAAATTCCATATATATGCATTAGTATACTGTATTGGTCTTTATCTTTCTGGCTTACTTCACTCTGTATAATGGGCTCCAGTTTCATCCATCTCATTAGAACTGATTCGAATGAATTCTTTTTAATGGCTGAGTAATATTCCATAGTGTATATGTACCACAGCTTTCTTATCCATTCGTCTGCTGATGGGCATCTAGGTTGCTTCCATGCCTTGGCTATTGTAAATAGTGCTGCGATGAACATTGGGGTACACATGTCTCTTTCAGATCTGGTTTCCTCGGTGTGTATGCCCAGGAGTGGGATTGCTGGGTCATATGGCAGTTCTATTTCCAGTTTTTTAAGGCATCTCCACACTGTTCTCCATAGTGGCTGTACTAGATTGCATTCCCACCAACAGTGTAAGAGGGTTCCCTTTTCTCCACACCCTCTCCAGCATTTATTGCTTTTAGACTTTTGGATATCTAGTAAATATTCTTGTACATACACTATTTTTGTGCACTTTAGCTAGTATACATGCAGAACAAATTCCTAGCAGTAAATCAGTGGGTCATAGGGCAAGCACACTTAAAATTTTTGATATTTTGCCAAATTGCCCTTCGAATAGATTACACCAGTTTACACGCCTCTGAAAAAGCAATCGAAATGACATAGAAGGGTATAAAGGTAAGAAAAGTTAAGTTCTCCCCCCACCACCCATGTTACTCTAGAGATGGCCAGAGTTTATGGTGTAGTGGGTGTTTTCCTAGACTTCAGATTTGTTGACAAATTATAATTTTGTTATATAGATGGAAGCATATTATTCCACCAGTGGCTTTTTCAGTTGACATTATATTGTGACTGTCATTGCATTTCAGTGTTTATTAAGTATCTTCACCCTGTAAAATAGAAATGACGTTGTCTGGTTTACGGATGGGTTATATAGTTAGAAGCTGGGATGGCATCCATTCTAGACAAGTTCTGTGAGTTGAGGACACGGTCTGAGGTGGAAGCCCATGCCCTGTGCTGGAAGGGCTTCAGGGAACTTCGGGCAGCAGCTCGACGTTCAGCAGTGTTGGTGTGAGCAGTTCTGGCGTTGCTCAGTCATACCGAGTGGCATGCTGGTTGTGTGCTCTGCCACTGGTTCGGTGAACACAGCTAATACGAATGGTAGTCTAGAGTGCAATCAGTCAGGGTTCTAGGTGCGAATATTCTCCGGAAATCTTTCTTTCTCACTCTTTGAATCCTTCCCTACCTTTTTGTGGTATTTCTGGCTCCTTCCCCACCCCCCTTTATTTTAGTATCCTAATATAAAATAGATTTTTATCTCTTTGCATGAACTTTTGTGACCTGGTGTATGTTTGTTTTTATGGAAAATTCTAGACACATGAGGGTAGAATGTTCCAGTGAATCCCTGGTACCCCTCAGTCAGCTTTAGTAATGACACCTCAGCCTTCCATCAGGTGTCATTCTTTAACAGGTTTATTAAGATGTAACTTGCAAACCATACAGTTCACCTATTCAAAGTCTGCAATTCAATGCCTTTTAGACTATTCACAGATAATCTATCCTTCACCACAATCAACTTTAGAATATTTTTTTTTCCTATAAGAACACTCCAGCCTATTCCTTAGCCATCATCCCCCAATCTGCCCCATTCCCCAGCTCCTGGCAACCACTGATGTGTTTTTTTTTGTCTGTGGATTTGCCTATTCAGAACATTTATTATAAATGGACTCCTACAATACATACTCCTGAGGCTTCTTTCAAAAGCATAATCTTTTCAAGCTTCACCTGTAGCATGTATCAGTACTTCGTTTCCTTTTATTGCTAAATCATGTTCCGTTGTAGGCATAGACCACATTTTGTTTACCCATTCATCAGGTGATAGATGTCTGGGTTATTTCTCCCTTGGAGCTCTAATGAGTACTGCTGTCCTGAGCATTGCTGTACAGTTTTCTGTGTTTTCCTGTGCCCTGGGTGTAGTTAGGAGTAGGAATCACTGGGTTGTATGGCACTTCTGTGGTGAGCCGTTTGAGGAACTGCCAGATGGTTTTGCACAGTGACTGTACCACTGTACCTTCCCACCAGCCGTGTCTTAGGTAGAAGAGGAAAAAATGATGACAACACATACAGATGATCAGATAAGCTTGTGAGTAGGCTGAACATCCTTCCTGGTATGAACATACCTTGGTGAAGGGCTGCTCTTCCCCAGAATTAAAGTCAGGTCCTTCTATGTCCTTACGCTGTCCCTCACTTTGTTCTGCAGGTCGATGAATACTTGGTTGGGGCAGGATGTAGGCTGGCTATGCCATTCATTCGTGATTTCTAAAGTTTAATTCATAATTTGGGGATGAGAGTGGAAGTTGTTAAAGCTTAGCATATTACTTGCTTAAATGTCAGAATACAAATTTGTCTGAACAGAAATCGTGCACCCAGCTGCCCGGTGACCTTGAGGTCAGCAGACTTGCTGCCCGCTCTTCCGCATGGGCAGGTCTCCAGGAAGCCCTAGTGAAGCGGGAGGTCCCTGCTCTGGCTGGGCTGTCCTTGTATCTAGAGAGGCAGTGTCTCTGAGCTCCTGGGAACCTCGCTGTGTTGGCCTTTGTTTGGGCTAAGGAGTGATGGGCCAGGCTGACTTGTCTTGCAGCACAAATGAGGTAGATGGCCATTATGAGAACAGTTGGAGACTAATGAGTGTGGACAGTTTGTAAAACTAAATGATACACTGTCAATTTTTCCAGGATTCATAGAAATCATTGTTATGTTGTACACATACTTCAGAACCCTCCCATTAAAAAAAATACCCATTGTAAAAGTAAACACACCACATACACACACACACACACAGCAGGGAGACTTCTCGAGTGGTCCACAAGTTCAGATTTCATCTTTCAGTGCAGGGGGTGCATCTTCGATCGCTGGTCAGGGAGCGAAGATCCCACGTGCCACATGGCAAAGCATAAAATAGAAGCAGTATTATAACAAATTCCACAAAGACTTGAAAAATAGAAAATTAGGATTAAAAAAAATAACGACAACAAAAATAACACAGCAGGCACACAAGTCCAGACCACAGAAATCCCAGTGATCCCACCACCCATCACAAGCCCCGGAAGCACTGTGTGCACCCTCCTCCTGCCCGCCTTCTTTCTCTGCCTTCACACAGCGCGGGGAGCTTTCTTCATCTACCCCGCCCTGGAGAAAGGCAGGCTCGCCAGCACACGGTCCTCTCGGGCTTCCGCCCGTTCTTGCGCAGTCCGTTTCACTGCTGCTTTTTCTCCTCAGCTGCTGTCCTCCTTTCCTCCTCTGCCCGAGCTTTCAGGTGATAACTGACATGCTGGCCACCATCTTGCCCGTGACCTTCCCACCAGCCGTTCTTTCTCTAAGCGCTTGTGTTTGGACAAACCGGCATCTCTGTGGAAACTGATTGCTGTAATGACCCTTGTCTGCCTTTCCTTTCTTGTGCAGGAAACAAGAGACCGTCTAAAGGAAGGAGCCTCATCGGCAGCGTGGATAACTCACCTGTGGTCACTGGCAGAGGAGTGACGGTGAAACCAGGCTTCTCCGTGGATGAGTTTTCTACCTCCGTCCTCACTGGAAAGCTGACCACTGTCTTCCTTCCAGTTGTCTACACGATCGTATTTGTGGTTGGTTTGCCAAGCAATGGCATGGCCCTGTGGGTCTTTCTTTTCCGAACAAAGAAGAAGCACCCCGCTGTGATTTACATGGCCAACTTGGCCTTGGCCGACCTCCTCTCGGTTACCTGGTTCCCCTTGAAGATCGCGTATCACATCCATGGCAACAACTGGACTTACGGGGAGTCTCTTTGCAAGGTGCTCATTGGCTTTTTCTATGGCAACATGTACTGCTCCATCCTCTTCATGACCTGCCTCAGCGTGCAGAGATACTGGGTCATCGTGAACCCCATGGTGCACCCCAAGAAGCAGGCAAACATTGCCATCGGCGTCTCCCTGGGAATATGGCTGCTCATTCTGCTGCTTTCCATCCCCTTGTACGTCGTGAAGCAGACCGCCTACATCCCGGCCCTTAACATCACGACCTGCCACGACGTTTTGCCGGAGGAGGTGCTGGTGGGAGACATGTTCAATTACTTCCTCTCTCTGGCCATCGGGGTCTTCCTGTTCCCAGCCTTCCTCACGGCCTCGGCCTATGTGCTCATGATCCGGACCCTCCAGTCTTCTGCCATGGATGAGAGCTCAGGAAAGAAGAGGCGGAGGGCCATCAAGCTCATTGTCACCGTGCTGGCCATGTACCTGATCTGCTTCACTCCCAGTAACCTCCTGCTCGTGGTGCACTACTTCCTGATCAAGACCTGGGGCCAGAGTCATGTCTACGCCCTGTACATCATCGCCCTCTGCCTCTCCACCCTCAACAGCTGCATCGACCCCTTTGTCTATTACTTCATCTCACAGGACTTCAGGGATCACGCCAAGAATGCTCTTCTCTGCCGGAGCGTCCGTACTGTAAAGCAGATGCAGGTATCCCTCTCCTCAAAGAAATTCTCGGGGAAATCCAGCTCTTACTCTTCTAGTTCAACCAGTGTCAAAGGCTCCTACTGAGTGGTCCGGTTCCTCGGTGGAAGTTCTGCTGGAGGCTTTGGAGCCTGCTTACCATTCCGGAGATGCTTCTGTTGTTTCCTAACCAAGTAGGTTTCACCACATACCATGTATATGCAGCACCTCTCAGGGTGGCTGGAAGCTTCCCTGTTTGCATGAGGAAAGTCCCCCCAATTCACATGGAATGTCAGTTTCAGAATTCCTCTACTCAGGGGCTCCCAGAAATGGAACTGATCAAAGCAGACTTTTCAGACGGTGCAGAAAAGACAGAAGCCCCATGATATGCAACGATTAGTCTTGGCATGAAGGCTTAAGTTTTTAGCTGCAGCTACGTTTCTTTTACATCTGGGGTTGATCCAGCTGTATTAGGGCTTCAGCGCCCTCAGAGAAGATCAGTACAGTTGACTGGCTCTACAGATGGGGAAACTAAAGAGGTGGGGGAGCTGCCGCAAGTCCGGTTTCCAACCAACGGCAACAAGTTTGAAGGGTGGGGTTCTTGTACCACTTCATCAAAATCATTGTGTATCTTGTTTGAAAATGTAGATTTATCATACTCAGGAATCAGAGCTCAGAGTCTGGGGCAGGGCCCAGGAACCTGCATTTTAACAAGTCTTTCTTACACTCCAGTGTTTGGGAACCTTTGGTCTGGGTACTGCTTCCACTTGACAAGGAGCCATGGCAATTTTTGAAAAATGAACCAAAACAGAACGTTTTGTGTCTCTTTTCCGTCCAGCTCAGAACAAAGTCTGTTCATTGACTCATTGGGACTTCCAATCATTTCTTTATTAATGCTTTGAGCTTTTGTATGTATTGTTGTCACTTTAAGGAAAATACGACGAGCATTTTAAATGTGGAAAAGCTAATTTTGTGTCTTTACTGACTTCAGTGAAATCTTCAGATTGTCTGAATAGTAGATTTTTTCACAACTAAGTATAGTGTTTACCACTTAGTATTTTTAGAAATTATTGGACTATTTATTGCCAGTTTTGTTGACTTTTTAGCAAATATGAAATGATAAAGCCGTCTCTTGAGTTTGAACCACATCTGTTTGGAAAAGAACACTAAAATAGAGATGATTTGCAATGTATTTTAAAAGGTACTTGACTCCAAGCTGACTTTATAGAACTGTTGTATTTGTGACCTTTTAAAATAATTATTTTACTGTATGATTGATTTATAAATAACACATAACTTTTATTTTTTACTACTTTTCTCTGATTTGTGTGGTTTTTGCTTTCATTTTTGTTTTCAAGGAACGAAGAGTAGGGAAATAAAGGCATCACTCTTCTAAGAAGAAATGAAAGTGATTCTCACATCTTATTTTTTATGTAAAGAGGGTCATATTGTACACATTGCTCTGTAATAATTATTTTTCTTTTAATTACATTTTAGAATTCTTCACATGTCTGCATTTATGGATTGACCTCCATTTTTAAAGGATACAAGCTACTTAATATTTTGGGTATATTGTGAGGTTTTAGTCATGTGGTCATTTCCATACTTATGGCTCCTGGAGTTGTTTCTCTCTCCCTCTCCTTTTTTCTCTGTTAAAACAGTGCCACACTGAACCTCTGTATGTAGGCGTCTTTGTGAGTATTTCTGTAGGATGGGGGCTTCCTTGATGGCTCAGCAGGCAAAGAATCTGCCTGCAATGCGGGAGACCTGGGTTCGATCCCTGGGTTGGGAAGATCCCCTGGAGAAGGGAACAGCTACCCACTTCAGTATTCTGGCCTGGAGAATTCCATGGACTGTCCATGGTGTTGCAGAGTCGGATACGACTGACCGACTTTCACTTTCATTGTAGGATGAGTTCCAGAAAGTAGAATGGCCAGGTCAAAAGTTGGGTGCTCATTTTAAATTTTGGTAACACTTGCCAAATGGCCTTCAGTAACATATACTTCTACCAAAAAGTGTGTTTGCACTTATTTCCAGAAATGCTCATCCATCAGTCTTTTGAAATGTTTGGAAAAACATCTGTTGCATTAGTTCATACTGAGGCAGCAGGGCTCCTGCCAGGCAAGGCTGAATTCTGACTCCGTCATGTCTTTGTTTTGGTTTCCTGAGGAAGATGCTTCTCTGTGCCTCAGTTTCTTGTTTGTAAAATGCAGATTAGGATGAAACATTTGGCACATCCTCATAAGTTTAGTGTAGCGTTATTACTGTTCGTCTCTGACGACTGATGTGATCTCATTTCTGGTCTGCCGCCTTCCGCTTCTTGGCCAGATACACCCTGCGTTCCTTGCCGGCTCAGCCCTCAGTCTCATAGCAGGCTTCCTCCAGGTCGGCTTGCTTCCATTTACAGGTGAGAAAGCAAAAGATGGCCTACCCAGAGTAAAAGCGAGCAGAAACAAACAGCTCACAGGCTGATCCAGTGGAAAGCATTTTTTTGGTCTTTGCTATTTCTTTGTTAGTCATTTTTATAATACATGCTGATAGTAAAAAAAAAAAAAAAACAATAAAAATATATAAAATGAAAAATGTACTTCTTTGCCATTCATGTCCATTCTTATCTCACAAAGGGAACTAATTTTTACAATTGTTTATAGAAAATGTATGTACTTTGTATGTTATACTCTTTAAGAATGAATGTGTTTGTGTATGTAAATACATATACGTGCATGTATATGCCAACTTCTAAATTAATTCACATGGATCTTCCTCCTTTTGTTCAGTGACTAGGTTGTATTCCATACCTGAGTGATCATAATTTAATCCCTACCCTAAGGAAGAAGGCTTCTTCTTGGTTCATTTTCACCAAATCTGTGAATCTACATGAAGGAAGTGTACAAGAAATGATCTGGGAAATAGAATCATAAGAGTGTCTGTTTGCTGAATCAAATGCTCCTCCAGCGGAGTTTGTTTCTTTTCCCTTTGAGGCCCTGCTCTGCCTGAATCAGGCCCAGCCAGTGGCGGGGCGGGGCAGGCCAGCTGAGGAACTCTGGCCCTGGGCTCAGGAGTGCCCTGGGCGTGCCTGTCTTCCCTCTGTGTTCCCTATCTTGCTGGGCTCTGGTTTTTCTAAACTATCTGACAGTTTGAATGTTGCACTGCACTGGCTCTAGTGACTAAAGGAGGGCTCTCTGAATTTGAAAGCGAACGTGGATTTGTGTCCCATTGTGCAGGACACACGCTAAACTGAAGTTGTTTGGGCATTTCTCTTTTTGTCATTTCAGTTGTTTGCAGCAGGAGTTTCAGAGGTAATTAATTTCCCTGTTACCAAGACTTCCTCAATCCTGGGGCTATAATCTCATCAGTATGCATAGTTTAGGGATTGCAACTTTGTTCCTGTAACTTTTCTCCTTTGGAGATGCTTAAGAGGACTGGAATTTATCACCGAATCAAAGGTACAGTTTGCTACACTGTTCCCTGGTCTCATCAATCAAAACCGTGGGTCTGGGCCACAGAGTTTGGTTGTTGTCTTAAAAAGCGAAGTTTCTGATTTTACACTAGTCAAAGGCATGTGTTTAGTCCACCCCCACTGCTAATTCTGAAGAGGGAAAACCAAACTCAGGGCTCGGTCCTCCATTTTACCCAAGCCTTGGAAAGTCACTGAGATGGTTGTTCCGTTTCAATGTAAATCACTGGGGTCCCTCAGGTCACACTCTGGAAATGGCCTTACTGAGGGAGAGTGTGAGCTGCCTTTGCCTCTACCTGTTAGTCAGCCTGTGGAACATTTCCCGGTGTCTGTCTTTACTGATGAGGAGCGAGGCATGACCAGCTGCGGTTCACCACCTCCTGCAGAAGCTGCAGCCCGAGTCCGTGGGCTCCGTGAACTCTGGTCAACTCATCAGCACCCCGAAAGTGTGAGTGGCTCACACATTCACCTCGCGACTGTTTTCTTCTTTTCCTTTATTTGGTTTTAATTAGAGGATTATTACTTTACAATATTGTGATGGCTTTTGCCATAGGTCAGTGTGAATCAGCCACAGGTATCCTTACGTCTCCCCTCCCTCCCCTTTCCACCCCTCCAGGTTGTCACGGAGCACCAGCTTTGCATCCCACGGTTACTGCAACATTGTTGCCTTATTAAATGCAAATGATTAAACCAGGATCCCAATTTTAGCAGCATTCTAATTGTAGGATTCATGTTCTCAGTGAAATTAGCCATCTTAAACAAAACCAAAAACCCAAACCCAGTGTTTGTATTACTGGAAAACCTGTGAAGAAGAGACTATTCTAAAGCCAGGTCCTGAGAGAGGGAGAAAATCAAGGAGAACAGAAGGACAAGGCTTAGGAAGGGCCATTACTATGGCTTCTCTCTTAATATTGCGATGCTTAAACCTTAAAAAAAAAATTTATAAAAGTAATAGTGGTTGTTGTAAGTCAGTCTGAGAATATCGGAGCGCATACTGAAAAGTGGACATAGTCCCTCCCTACCCACCCAGGTCAGAGCGTGGCCTCTTTTGAGGTGTTTTCTATGCATGAATAAATGTAAGTGCCCATATGCTTTTTTGTTTTAATAGTAAAAGAGGAGTTTATACTACCTATATCTTTCATGCATAATCAATTTCCTCAAAAACTTAGTGGTTTAAAATAACAGCCAACATTCACTGACTTGCGCGGTTTCTGTGAGTCATGACCTGGGAGCCGTTGAGGCAGGTGGTTCTGGCACGGGGTCTCAGGAGGCTGCAGTCCCCTGAAGGCTTGGCTGGAACTGGAGGATCCCCTTTCCTGTGTGGCTTCCTCACAGGCCTGGCGTGTTGGTGCTGGCTGCTGGCAGGATTCCTGGTTCCTCTCTGCAAGGGCTTGTCCACAGTCCTGCTCAAGTGACTTCGTAACGTGAAGGTTGCCTTTCCCCGAAACGAGTGATCCAGAGAAAACGGAGGCGTTGCACTGCCTGTTGGAGCCTGGCCTCCGGCGTCATCCGCCGTAGTCTCCACCTTACTCTACGGGTCATATATGTATCAGATAGCTTCAGTTCACTTGGGAGGAGACTACAGACTACGTAAAGGCATAAATACCAGCACGCAAGGATCACTGGAGGCCATATTGGAGGCTGGGTACCA